TAAAATTAAAACTATTTTCATAAATACTGGCCAATACTGTTTAAACACCATTTTAAATAAAATCCTCCAAAAAAACAGAAAGAGATTTTAAGGGAATGAAAAATCTGAAAAGTAGATTAGTTAAAAGCCCCCCTGAATAAAAATTTTTTAAATAGTGAAAATGGTTTCCTTAGATGTGGGAGTTTTTTGGTATGTAGGAGTGTTATGGATAGAAATTATTGTTAGTAAAATGTCTATTAACTGTATGTGCCTGTGTTCATTATTTACTCAAAATGGCTGCTAGAGCACCCTCTCCCATCCTGTGTTCATTATTAACTCAAAATGGCTGCTAGAGCACCCTCTCCCATCCTGTGTTCATTATTTACTCAAAATGGCTGCTAGAGCACCCTCTCCCATCCTGTGTTCATTATTCACTCAAAATGGCTGCTAGAGCACCCTCTCCCATTGACCAAAGAATAATGCTTTCCTATGGGGATTTCAGCGACGCTGGAGGTCCTCACATAGCGTGAGGACGTCCAGCAACATTATAAACTTTGGAGGAAGTGCATTAGATAAGACACTTAACACTTGACCAATTAAAGATGTATTCTCTCTGTTATCTTGCTTTCTGCATATGATGTATTTCTGCCTTTATAAGGGGCTTGCCGCCCCCTGATTAAACATTCCCAAGTTTTTCATTAACCTGAAACTTGTGTCTCAGTGTGATTTACTTCAATGTGCTTTCTATTTTAAACAATCTGGACGGGGGCAGATACTCGAGCAAACAATTGGTTTGATCTAAAACAGGAGTACAGGAAGTAAAAGAATAATCCATAAAGGAATTTAAGTCAAGGGTATAACGAAATTTAAATTAAGGGGATTAACAACCTTCCATTCAAAGAATGTGATTTGTCATCTAATATGTGAATACATACAGTACATAGGTAAAACAACAAGACAAGCACATATTAGATTCAAGGAGCACATAAGAAATATTAATAATGGACTAGAAAATTACAGTGTAAAAAATTACGTTTTAAAAAGTTCATAATAAAGACCCTCGAGATCTCCGATTTATTGTAATTGAACAAATCTACAAAAAGTTGAAAGGAGAAGATTTCCAAAAAGAAGAGAAATGGGATGGATTTTTTATTTAAATTCCCCTATTTCCAACGGACTAAATTGTGATTTTGAGTTATGTAAATGTATATGATATTTTTACCATTTTATTATGATCTCTTTCCACTTATTCCTTTTTTTTTTTTTCACATTTGCTCTTTTCTATTTATTTTTCAATTATATATTGTGGATACAAGACAATATTACTTTTTTTATACCACATTTTTATAGAATTAATTTACTAACCATTAAATATCACTGGATATACTTGATATATCTTAAGGAGTATATTTCCTTTTTTTTTTTTTATAAGAACATAGATATCCCTTTTCTCTTTTTCCATTATGTCCTCTTCTTAAATATATATAAGAAAATAATTTACCTTAAGATCTAGGTGCAAACACATCCCATTTGTTTTTATTAGTAAATGTATATGCATAGATATGGTTACAAGATATACCATAATGATTATTTATTAGCATATATATTTTATAGATTTTTTTAATTTTTCAGCCTTTTTCATTTTTTTTTTATTTTCTGATTTGTAGAAAACCAGTTGGTTATAACCCTGAATATCCACTGTTTCCTTTAAGCTCCTTTTCTAAATATATATGTAGATTTTTTTTACTATAGTCACCAAAACAACTTTAACTTAATGGAGCCGTTTCAGTGTATAGATTTTGCCTCTGCACTCTCATTACTCAATTCTCTGCCACTTAGGTGGAATGTGATGGAACACATAATATGGCCACTGGCCAGAACCAGAAGTTAGCACATCACAATCCCAAAGTCTAATAAGAGGTTTGAACACACACTCTATTTAAGTTTGCCAGAACCGGAGACCTATTTTGGGGAGTAGATATAAAAGGACAATCATCACAATAACTTAATACAGACTGAGCAAGCCTACAAAAGGAGGAGAAACATGGACATTACCCTATGGACATTACCCTATGGACATTTTATATATTTATGTATTTGTTTATTTTTGTTTCTATTGCTTTTGGTCATATTTATTTTTGTTCGTCGAGTTCATGTAACTCAAATCGGACACGCAACGGCACGAACACCGCTGAAACGTTACCTTTTCTGAACTTCAACTCTTCAACTGGAGTCGAACACCGTTCGACAATTCGAACGGCACTTCAACATTGACATTTGCACGAACGGTTGCAGTTCATCTATTTGAACTGTATTTAACATTGGAAATAGACCGGCCGCACAGCCAAATTCTCTGGAACTGTTTTGGGCATGAAATCATGCGTGCGGTCGGTCAAAAGAGACTTCCATGGAAATTTTGAACCCCTGCTCTGATCTGGGTGATTTTTGGATATGTTGCTCACCCAGATCAGGGATATGCAGGGATGTGTTATGTTTTGGGATGTTTTCTAGACTTTGGGGAAAATGTGTGTTTTTCTGCTTGTGAATAATTAGGTTATTAGGTTATTGTATTAGCTGCTTTCATTATATCCCAGGCAGAGGGGAGGGCTTTTGTGCTGTATGTGGGAGTGTCGGACATTATTGTATTGTTTTGATTGGTTTGTGTCCTTTGTGTCCTGTGCTCCACATGGGTGGTAACCTTGTGGGGAAAATGTGTATAAAAGAAATGCCTTTGTGATCATTAAACAGACCTGCTTACCCCTTCATGAAGTCTTGGCTCATGTTTGGGGGATTGGAGAACTGTACTCTGGGGATTGCTATAATCACTAGAGTATATTTACTAGCTCTTGTAAGAGCTGTTCTTGTTCCTGGTTCCAGCTCTCTAGATTTAGGGAGAGGTTCACCCACTGGAAGCTCGAGCCTGGTCTTTGATTCCAGGGTAGGTGGAGGACGGCGAAACCACAACCAAGCTGCGGCAGTTCATGGGGTTTGTGGTGGTTATGGTGTCGAGTGCAGTGCTGATGGTCCTTGGCGAGCACTAGGAGCATCGTTCTACTGAGGCACCCAGTCGGGATGGCAAGTGTTCCGTCACACCCATGAACATCCCTATTTCCAATTCAATTTTCTACTTTGAAAACAGCGACATCTAGAAACTGTATGCATACCTGACTCCAAGTTGGGTCAAGTTTTACAGAAAGTGGAAATTTATTGATACTATCTAAAAGGGCCATCATCAGGTAGTGACAACCATGACAGTTATTACGGATTCCCGATCTGTAGCTGCATCCCTTTAGCAGTGCAACTGGACCTCTTTAAAAAGCTGATCACTTCCTCTACTCTGGAGAGCGGAGGCAAAGCGGAGGCAGCCAAAAGGTAAGAAATAATAGGATGGATAAAAAATTATCTGCATGTGTGTGTGTGTGTGTTTGTCAGTATGTCTGTGTGTCAGTATGTGAGTGTATCTGTGTGTCATTGTGTGTCTGTGTGTGTATCTGTGTTTGTGTGTATTCTTTGTTAGTGTGTATCTGAGTGTCTGTAAATCTGTGTGTGTGTGTGTCAGTGTGGGTATATGTGTGTGTATATCTGTGTCTGTGACTATGTGTATCTATGTGTTTGTTTATTTGCATGTGTGTCAGTGTGTGTGTCTGTGTATCTATGTGTGTCCGTATATGTGCCAGTGTGTGTGGAAGTGTATACACACAAATGCATGTCTGTATTCAAACATCAACATTCACATAGATACTCCATAAAAAAAAAAAACATGCTTACATTCATTAACATTCATTACATTGTGTGTTAACTCATTAACCAATTATAATTTATTTGTTATATGATGTGATCCTTAATTGCAAGACTTTATGAACATAGTATAGAGGCAAACCTCCATTAAGTTCATTCACCAAATTTTTTAACTTATGTTTGCATCATTGCTTTTCCATCACTTTATATATTAGTTCTTTCACATTCACAATCACTATTACTGGACAGAGTCTTGCTCCTGCACATAACCTTAAGTCCTGCTTATAATGTGTGAATGAAGCAGATGTAAAAGTTGTTTCAAAGTCCCCTCATTCCATTCTTGCACGTTGCTATATACCAGAAGTCAGAGCTAGGATTGAAACAGGAATTCACTGTCCACACTGGGTGGGGGATTTATCAGAGTGTCACAGACTGATTTGAACCTTTGTCTTGCATATTTTGTGTGCAATTTATTAAGTTGTTTTTCAGGTTATTTTTTTAAATCTAAACATTGTTACATAGCTAAGACATGTGTCCATAAAGTTCAGCCTTTCTCACATCTGTTTTTGGTGTTGATCAAAAGAAGGCAAGAATACCCAGTCTAAGGCGCTTCCAATTTTGCAACAAACCCGAATCGCAATCACATATCTCCTTGGATCATGAAGCTGTTACCCCACAAATTAAAAAAACATATATATACATCCCTGAATATCATACTTTTGCAAGTATTCATCCAGTTGCTGTTTAAACATCTGTACAGAATCTGATAAAACCACCTCTTCATGCAGAGAATTCCACATCCTTATTGTTCTTACTGTTCTACTAAAACGTTCAACAACAATGGCTACAGTATACATGAGTCCAAATACATGGAACAAACGCAAAAAAAAAAAAGCCTGTGCACTATCCTAAATCACTATACACCTCCTGTAGGGATTTGGGATAGTACACAGGTAAATTTGTTATTTTCTTTATGTATTGGGTCCAATGTATATTGTAGCCATAGCTGCCACCCATGAGTAATGGGAGTTTGAGTGCTGGGTTTAATTTTTCGTGTTTGTATTTGGTTATGTATTAAAAATTCATGTTTCTGTGTCGCCACTTTAGAGATTTCGCCTTTTAGCAGAAAAATGCCAGGTGAATTGTTAGAATAGGACTTAACATTTAATGGCCACTGGAGTAATACTGCAAAATCTCCAGCTATATCAATGTTTATAGAGATATGGGATAGTACGCAAGTAGCTTTTCTGCTTTTTTTTTTTATACATTTCCTCTTTGGTGATCTAACGGCCATTTTTGAAAGTGCGGCCCTGTGTGTTTTTAGTCGACACAACTGACAACGTTTCTGTCCTTTCTTTCTGCTAGAAAAAAAAAACGTTTTATTTCACTGAACTTTTTTTCTGAATTTAATGGTCTGTCCTGAAACTGACTTTTTCCATGAAAATTAACAATTTAATGAATATGAACAAATTGGAGACCAAGAATAAATGACACTTTCAGATCACTTTTGGTAAATCTCTCCCATTGAGTTATATCTACATTTTGCTATTATCATTGGATATTATGACATCTCATCTCTCTTTAATTCAAAGTTTTTACAACCTTTCTGTTCACAGCTGAAGTAGGAAAGATATATATAATACACAGTCTGTGAACTAATGGACTCACCCATCACTTGTAATGATTCAGTCTGTGTCTCTATTGGTTGCTCCGGGCTGGGATGTTCCACTCTGCAGATGACTTCTATCGGTTGCTCTGAGCTCAGTGATTGGCTGATAATCAGACATGCTGTACAGCTGTACGTGTTAACATCCTGTATCTCATATCTGAGATCCTGGATCTCATAAATCTCACTGGAATTTAATGTAACTGGTTGGAGATCCCCTTGCTCCTGTTTATACCAGGTCACAGATGGCCTATCCCGGTTAGAGTATCCTGAGATCTTGCACTCCAGCTTCACCTTCTGGGACCAAGGTAATTGATCGGATACTATGATATCTTCAACATGTGGAGGAGTCCCTGTAATTGAGTGAAAGTATAATTTAATTTAAATAATAAAAACATGAATAGATTTCTAACTATAAATTTTGTTCCAATGCACAACAGATTAAATCAGAATTAAAGGACCAGTAACGTGTCAGCGGCTGGTTCAATATTGTATTGAGACACAGTGCTGAGCACACCAAGGGCTGTGCGGGGTGAGACACTGCCAGAGCAGGAAATTACCCTATAGGAGCCTGACGTGCAGGGACAATAGTGAGAGGAGTTAATATTCAAGATACTAGAACACTTAACATTAGACATGTATGTGTATATATGTATATATACATATGGCGAGAAATTTTGGGAACCAAAACAGAAGAACAAACCAAACATTCATGAAAATGGCTAAATCAATTTGCTGCAAATTTCATACATAATATGATATTAGGTAAATATTTTGGAGTGCACTGATAGGAGCATTATCCCACCATTTGGCTCACAGATCAAGTGAGAAAAGTTACCAATAGAGAAAATAGGAGAAGCATGAACAGAAAATCTATAAATATACATTACATACTGAGAGACAGTGATTCAGAATTTCAAAAAGTGGAAATAGTGTATCTATCCTTCCATCACCTTGTGTGTTGAAATACTGGATTTCAGAAGTCAAATTAGGAATGGCCATATGATTTATATTTTAAGTCTATTAGTTACACCTTACCCAAAAAGACCAATTTTACATCTGGGGACGCATTGTTCTCGTTTGTCTGTCCTGCAAAAAGAAATGAATTAAAATCGCAGAAAACCAGAGCTGATTTTGATCATTTTTCTCTGGCGCACTTGTTTCCTTTTCATTAACTATCTTACGAGGGAATGATAAAAACCCCGGCTACAATGTGTCAGACTCACTGGGCGCTAATTTCTAAAGGTTGATTTCTGTTTTAATGAATCTCAGAAATTTTATTAAACTTTTTGTCATAGTAAACATTTACTTTTCCTTTAATAATAAAATTTAAATATTGAAACACAAAATGTATAAAACTTATTTTAGTATTTAGAATGAATGGAGACTTAAAGAATACTTACTGCGCTTCCTAAATTTATATACTGAAAATACCAGTATCACCACGACAACAATGAGAACAGGAATTAAAATCTGCGACATTCTATTTCTTTGACCTGTAACAAGAAACATGCAATATCTTTATTTGTATTCATTTATATAGAGATGGAAAGAATACATATTCAGTTCGGTTTTGTGACCATGTCTGGGCTGGCATATCATGCCATGACCCCCCAGTGATCAGGGTGTTTGTATCAGACATTAGCAGGTCTGCAGCCAGGGTGGAAACCGGTAGCATTTTATTCATTTGTTCTATTTATTACATTTAATAATGATTAGACAATTAATAATGCAAATAGTGAAGGATATTACAAACAAATCAAGGCAAGATGGCATCCGTTACACAGTATACAAAGGATCGCTCTAAGCACCATAACCACTGCACATGTTTATAGTGATTATGGTGAAAGCAGGCTACTTGGTGATAGCAGGTGTCCTATGAGAAAGCCCAGTCTGGAGAAATGCTTTTGTGTTTTTTTATGCTGTATATTGTTTTTTACTATTTTTGTCTGAAATAAAACTATTTACTACACCTGGACCTTCCCGATTTTATCCTTGAAGATATTATCCGGAGGATTCACACTTTTATTTCCTTGGTGATGAAGATACCACCTACGCAATGTAGGTTTAAACAAAAACTACTTTTGGGCTCCTTATGTGAGTATACCTTATTTAATTGCTTTAATCCCAGCCATAAAGATATATATATATATATTTATTTTATTTTTTAAAAATTTGCATCACATATGCTGGTGAATTCCTATTGCCATAACACTGCACATTGAAGGAGAAGACTCCTGACTACTTGGCATCAAGAGTGACCTCTGCCTTTGCCTCTTGTGCTCTTTCCCAGGCAATTATCTACACCTCTGCCTATGTTGTGATAATAGCAATTGTGACTTTTCGGCCTAGCTTTTTTAACTTGTCCCAAGATCCAGGGACCAAACAGCCAGCCAACAGGTTCAAAGACTGTGTTACTGGATCCCTTAATAACAAAACAGGACATGCAGTTCCATATGGAACTAACACACTGAGCTTTATTCTTACTTAGGACCAACCAATATGCGCATTACATCAAACTTATGGTGGAAAACTCAAATACAAATAACCAAATAATTTGTGGAAACATTAACTCATAATAACACAATAACATATTAATAATGGGGAAGACAATAACTAACAAAAAATATCTCCCCTGCCCGCCCTGCAGAAGTCATAATATGCAAATCTACCTGCATATGCAAATGAATAAACCTTGCTATTCAGGTAGTGCATATAGCTGTTTCAATATCCTCACAACATCTTCCCCATCAAAACTGTTTCTCCTCATGAACTCAGTTTAAAACATCAGTTAAAAAATATTTTAAATATATTTAAAAGGTAATGGAGGAAATCATATGAATGGAAAAAAAAGGTTAACACGCTATAACTATTCCAGATCCCAAGCTATATGTGGGATTTCTTTTTAGACTGAGATATAGTTATATGTTTTTGTTTTTAATTCTTGAACTATTTCATTTTTATATCTGTTAAAAATACGGGACTGTTCAAGTCCTGTGAAATGACCGTCCCCTTTATTCTCCAAATAAAAAGATTATATCTATCATATTTAATACCTCTTAAAGAAAATATAGAATAAACACTGGTTACCCTTATATTCCAGGTGGAAGTCTTTGTAGAGAGGTCCAGATAGAGACTCATGTCTGACCCTGCAGGAGAAGGTCAGAAGTTTGTCCTCCTCAGTGGGTATTATAGTTACTGTGCTATACACACTATATGTGCCATCTGGGTTCCTCTGGGGTGTAGATACAGTATATTTATTGAGGATCTCCCCATCCCTAAACCATTTAATGTCGATGTCCACAGGGTAGAACCCGGTGATGGTGCTGCTCAGAATACTCTCCTTGTTTAGAACTGCCAATCTCCCTGTGATAGTGATCTTCGAAGGAGCTGGAATGCAAAACAACAATATTTATTCCCCATAATAGCATAAGGGAGATTAAAACCCAGTGATGGTGCTGCTCAGAATACTCTCCTTGTTTAGAACTGCCAATCTCCTACCCCAACCCTACCCCTAATTCTACCCCTACCGCTACCCCTAACCCTACTCCAAACCATAACCCTACCCCTAACCCTAACCCTAGCCCTACCCCAACCCTACTCCAAACAATACCCTAAACCTAACCCTACTCCTAACCCTAACCCTAACCCTATCCCTACCCTAAGCCTACCCTAACATTACCCTTTACCCTACCCTTAACCCTTACCCTAATGTTATGGGCAAATATTACAAGTTTTAGAATGAAATGTTGTATTTCTTAAACTGTGTACTTTGTCTTTAAGAGATATTGCAAACTGACAAGGTGTTAGAAATGGAACATATTGTTTTTCATAACTGTTTCTTTAAGCAATAACCTCAGTGCATAATATGTTTGCGCCATTTTGTCCCAGACGAATTACAAGCTTCAAGGCTATGCTACGACACTTGCAGTACACAATATACTGTTGTAACCCAAAGTTAATGGAACTTCCCCAAATCCGGGAATCTCCCACGACTGTACACTTACGACTTAGTATAAACAACAGATAACCTATTCAGACTTTAAGATGCCATCTTGAACTAAGTCAGGAAAATTTCCATGACGTATACACCCTTTAGTTATGGCCTTGTATGTTTGCCAAATTAAGGGAGGACCTAAATTGAATAAAGTAAAAGAAGTGTTACTTTTTCATATTTGAACTACAGTAACCTAAAATGGAGACACCTAAGGTATAAATAGGTGTACTTTTAAATGTTAAGACACAGAGGACAGACTTGGAGACAGACGCTGCTCCATCTTAAAATGACAGAGAGACTGACATGATGACATGTTCAGAAGGGTATGTTAACCTATTAATGATATTTGCAAGCATGTAATTTAATTTTATAAACTCTGCTATAATGTATTTTATATTTTTATATAATAAATATCCAAAAAGACAAAACGATTGCTTCCAAGACAATCCTTATTTTATATTGTATTCTCAATTGTTTATATATGTTAAATAGAGGATCTCTTACACTATATAAAATTATGGCTAAGATATCTGTATGGTTAGCCCTACTAAGTTCTATGCTTTAAGACATTATAGTGGTAAATAAGGGAACCACCAGCGGTTACACTAACCCTAACCCTACTCCTAACCCTACCCCTAACCCTACCACTACAGAATATTTGATAGAGTTCTAACCTCAACATCTGAGGAAAGGGATTTAAGGGTGATTATTTATGAGGACTTAAAGGTAGGCAGACAATGTAATAGAGCAGCAGGAAATGCTAGCAGAATGATTGGTTGTATAGGGAGAGGTATTAGCAGTAGAAAGAGGGAAGTGCTCATGCCATTGTACAGAACACTGGTGAGACCTCACTTGGAGTATTGTACACAGTACTGGAGACCGTATCTTCAGAAGGATATTGATACCTTAGAGAGGGTTCAGAGAAGGGCTACTAAACTGGTTCATGGATTGCAGGATAAAACTTACCAGGAAAGGTTAAAGGATCTTAACATGTATAGCTTGGAGGAAAGACGAGACGGGGGGATATGATAGAAACATTTAAATACATAAAGGGAATCAACACAGTGAAGGAGGAGACTATATTTAATAGAAGAAAAACTATCACAACAGAGGACATAGTCTTAAATTAAAGGGGCAAAGGTTTAAAAATAATATCAGGAAGTATTACTTTACTGAGAGGGTAGTGGATGCATGGAATAGCCTTCCAGCTGAAGTGGTAGAGGTTAATACAGTAAAGGAATTTAACCACGCGTGGGATAGGCATAAGGCTATTCTAACTATAAGATAAGGCCAGGGACTAATAAAAGTATTTAGAAAATTGAGCAGACTAGATGGACTGAATTGTTCTTATCTGCCGTCACACTCTATGTTTCTACCCTAACCCTCACCTTAAGCCTACCCCTACCCCTAACCCAAACCCTACTACTAACCCAAACCCTACTCCTATCCCTACCCTAATCCTACCACTAACCCTACTCCTAGTGCTACCCCTAACCCTAGGGGTAGGGTTAGGGGTTAAGGGTTAGAGATCCCTATATATGTGTAAGTGGTTGTGGTGGCAAGAAAGGAATGCTAACAAATGTCCATGTTGCCAAAATCCCAAAGTGCCAAAATCCTGAAGTGCCAAAGTCCCGAATGGCCGAAATCCTGAAGTGAGGAACCGAACCGGAATGCCAAAGTCATGAATTGCCGAAGTCACGAATGGCTGAATTTCATAAGTCCTAAAGGCTTGAATTGCCGAAGTCCTGAATGGCCGAAGTCTCGAATTTTGGAAGTGCAGAACTGAACTGAAATTTTTGCCCATGTGCATCCTTAAAAAACAGGCCTACATTCAAATGCACAAACACTGCTCAAAAATACATCCCTGCAAGGATGGGCAAATGGTAGATCCTCAGCTGACATAGCATTGTGGGAATTGTATGAAAGCTTGGAATCTACGTTTGGCCACCCATGCACAAAAATGATTTATTTTGCACCAGTGCTCTATATGCATTAGTCGCCTCTCAGCCTTCAGGAGAGCAAAAAGCTGTAGTGGTTATGGTAGTAGAGTGTGTATATATATATATATATATATATATATATGTATATATATATATATGTACATACCAACAGAGTTGTGGTGAACACAAATACACACACCAGTCAAGCCATAAGACTTCCTTTTCCCACAGAAATCTCACTTTAACAGTGCTCTCACTACTCACAACTCTGTTGGTATACACTTTACAAGTAACACCAAGCCTCCTTTGCAAGCCAGTAACCAACCTCATGCTGATGAGTTGCATTAACAACAAAACAGCTGTCCATGAGTGGTTCACTGGCTTTGTTCCTCTTCCTGAGTTGTGTTTCAAAGCTGTTGTATACAGGAGACACATGCTCCAAGGAATCCATGTACAAAGTTGAATTATGAGGCAAAAATGTGGTTCTTTGTTGAGCTCATTTGCATATACCTACCCAGAATCCCTTGCAGTAGTAAGAACACTGTTAAAGTGAGATTTCTGTGGGAAAAGCAAGTCTTATGGCTTGACTGGTGTGTGTATTTGTGTTTAGCAATGTATTATATTTGTGTTCGGAATCTCTAATATATATATAATGCTTATTGAATACTGGTTACCTTTCATTTTATATTCCAGGTGGAAATCTTTGTAGAGAGGTCCAGATAGAGACTCATGTCTGACCCTGCAGGAGAAGGTCAGAAGTTTGTCCTCCTCAGTGGGTATTATAGTTACTGTGCTATACACACTATATGTGCCATCTGAGTTCCTCTGGGGTGTGGATACAGTATATTTATTTAGGTTCTCCCCATCCTTATACCATTTAATATCGATGTCCACAGGGTAGAATCCAGTGATTGAGCAGCTCAGAATACTCTCCTTATTTATAACAGCGAATCTCCCAGTGATATCAATCTCTGGAGAAGCTGGAATGGAATACAATAAGATTAATTTATTTACCGTACATGGTCTGCATCTTGCAATAATTGGCTTTCTATTTTTCTAGTGATGGGTTGTAATATCCAACTTCTCTTCTAGATACACAGCACCCTATATTTTGTTTAATTATATCACTTTAAACCCTAGCTATGGGATCACTGCCTAATGTCCCAAGTTATTTTTCTGGTTTTACATTTCTCAGATGAATCAGAAATTCTCTAAAAAAAAAAACACACACAGCACAAGCATATCTATGAGAGTGTTCATACTCCATCACCTGTAGCAAGCCAGAGAAAAACTGTCCCTGTGATTGATGATTTGTTTGTCAGCTGTGTGTGTATGTGCTGCTGTCATATTGTACGTACTGGGAATGTCCCACCATGGCATCAGTGATATGTTACTGACACTCCAACACTAACATGTGATACTGGTATCCCTTCCCAAACTAGCTTTAGTTATGAGAAATTGTTTTGTAGAATTTTATTTTTTTTCTCTTATTTCTTCCTCTGTATAAATTGCTTTTTTTCTATGTGCTTGATATTGAGTGACTTGAACAATAAGTAAGATAAGTGTTTTACTCTATGGAGCAACATGGATGAACTTCTTAATGACTATACAAGGTTTTGGTATATTCAGTGGTGTATTTTGGATTTGTGCTGCCCTAGGTACAACTAAATTTGGGCACCCCCAAAATCTAAATTTGCCCCCCCCCAATTCGTGTCAAGGCCATTTTTTTGACTGACACATGCCCTCATTGATACATGCACTGATATACACTCACTGACAGATACACAGTCATTGGAACACACGGTTTAACCAAAACATACTTTCACTGACAGACGCACACTGACACACCCACTCACTGACAGGCACATACTCTCAGGTACACATAAAATGACATACACACACTGACACACACTCAAGGCACACCCATTCTGACTCAGAGACACACACTGACAGCTACACTCACTCACTCACAGTAAGGTGGACAGCCCCAGAACACGAGGCAAACAAGGCATTTGTCTGGGAGCTTGGGGTGGAATTTTTTGGCGCCCCCCCCTGGAAGTGCCGCCCTAGGCAAATGCCTTGTTTGCCTTGTGGCAAATACATCCCTGGGTATATTATTAGGTAGGGTACTCGAAAATGCTTTATTCCTAGGACTCTTGTCATATATACACTTAAGGTTTGAGGTTTGAAAAAATAATAACTTCTAATGTAAATTTATAGGTATAAATAATATTACTTAGAGGTCAGTGGAAAATACAAAAATGAAACAAAACAACCTCTTTCAGTGAGTAAAGGTCCCATAATACCATCAGATATTGACCATTTAACATTACCGAACTGTAAAACCATTCTCAACTACAACTTGTAGGAAATGTAACTTTTCTTGAGATTTTTTTTTTTTTCACACCTCAGTGTTATAAAAATAGAATGAGAGTATCTTGCACCTAAAAACTTATATTTATTCAAACATACACATCATCCGGTAATAGCATACGTCAATGCAAACGTCTTTGAATGTCTTTGACCAATACAGAGCAATGTTCATTATACATTTTTGATGTTAAAGGTATTGGTAACAAAATCTTAGCTACAATCAGTTTTATAGGTTTAAAATTCAGTTACATAGGGGCGTATACATAAGGTTGCCTTACTTTAAAAAAAGTGGCTATATTAGAAAAAGGGTAGTGACTTGGCATCATTTGAAATCTATGATTAAAGCCATACGTTATATTTAGGCGGTAAAATAGAAGTTACACAAAGGAAGTTCTATATACATGGTTAACCGAATAAATGCCTTTAGAAATCTGAGTCTTGGTAATACAGAGGGAGACTGACTTGCAAAGCTAGGTCAAAGGTTACTATCAGGCCTTCATCCATCATTCTTAACAAGAACCATATGTGGTGACCATCCATATACAATGAAAGTCTGTTAATAGTATAATCCTAGGTAATCCTAGGTAATTACTTCAGTGTTCTGGAAGTAATTTGAATAAAAACTTAGAATAGTTATATCACAAATGACAATACTACAACACATCAAATATTTAAGGTTAATTAAATATTTTTCACAAGTATTAATGGACTGTATTAGTAATGAATAAATTGAATTAAAAAAAAAAATGCACGTGTATCTGACTATGTTATATCTTAAGTGACACAGAAAAATATATAGAAACTAAAACAAGTAATTTTACCAGATGAAAAATAAATCAATATTTTCACAATTGTGTCTCTTAATTTAGCAGTTTTTAATATAAGTTTGTTTGAGCAGGATGTGTCTTTTGTTTGACTTCTTCATTCACTTGTTTGTTTAATTCACACCGTGTATGGCAATGCAAAATATGTTGGCACATTATTAATAAATAATATTACCGTAGTGTTCCATTTTATGTCACACAGCTATATTCTTACCATGAACAAACAAAGTGACTTCCTTCTCCTTCCTTTCTGGACTGTAAAGTATTAAACATGTATATATTCCACCATTAGATACTCTTACTCCGGAAATAGACAGAGAGGCATCTCCAATCAGTGCTCTGCTTGTATCTATAGAAAATGCAGGATTGATGGTGGTCACAATATTATTATAGTTTAAAATCTCCTTTCCCTGAAAGTACCAAAATACAGCAAAGAATTTGGGATCCACAGGAGGTTTATCCACAGTGAACATGCAGGGAATCAGGGTCTCAGATCCCATTCTAGCTCGATGACTTGAAGGAACATACAGCTCCAGAGCACCAACTGCAAAAATGACAAACTAACAATAAAACATAGGTATAAACATTTGATACATGATGTAAATATTGTTTTAAAGAGACGTTTATGCCACCAATGTTGACATTGGTGTCCTGTCTCTAAGGGTTACAGTGCAGATGAGATATACTTGCCTAATGCTTTTCCCTGCAGGTGCTTTTTTCAGCTCCTGCCGATTTATCCACAAGGAGCCACATCAATGCTGTACTCTAGCCCATGCACAAGATCCAGCGACTAGTATTAATCTTCTAAAGCCCTGGAAGTCTCCTTCCATCAATTGCAATGTTCAACCAATGTTAAACTCTGATACCAAATTATAGCCTTCATTTATTTTTTTGGATACGTTTTCAAATGATTACATATTTTGAAAAATATTGATAGATTCTGATATATATATATATTTATATATTGATATTTTTTTTATATATGATATATTTTTTAATATATGATATATTTTTGATATTTTAATATTTTTAAAAACTTTTTTTGAACCTCAAGTTTAGCCAAAAATATTAAATAATTTGAAAAACTGAAAAAATATTAAACAGTGGCCTATGGGAATATTGTTTTTTTATTTAACAAATGGAACAAGATAGGGATGCCCACTTTCCCCATTGACTTTTATTATGGCTTTGAAGCCCGTAATATATAATGATCCCCTGATACTACAGGGACTCCCTAAGTTATTGATGAGCACATATTGGTGTTATTCACTGATAAAATTCTCCTGTCCTTAGTTCAACCCAATCACTTGTCTTCTTCACCTTTTCCAACAACTAGAAACCTTTCTTAAAGTATCATAATAGAAAAAGAATACTTGGAAGTCCCTGACATTACTGCTACAGCTATGTCCCTCTTGTGGTCCACCTACAAATTTTGATTGGAGAACGGCCTATGTATCCTATTTAACTTAACCTTATTGAGCTTCATTCATGCTGATGATACTAAGTTATGCAACAGGTTTGATGTTCCAGGAGGAATAAGCCAAATGGCATATGATTTAGGTAAACTAGAAAAATGGTCAGAGTTGTGGCAACTGACATTTAATGTGGATAAGTGCAAGATAATGCATCTTGGACGTAAAAACCCAAGGGCAGAGTACAGAATATTTGATAGAGTCCTAACCTCAACATCTGAGGAAAGGGATTTAGGGATGATTATTTCTGACAACTTAAAGGTAGGCATACAATGTAATAGAACAGCAGGAAATGCTAGCAGAATGCTTGGTTGTATAGGGAGAGGTATTAGCAGTAGAAAGAGGGAAGTGCTCATGCCATTGTACAGAACACTGGTGAGACCTCACTTGGAGTATTGTACACAGTACTGGAGACCGTATCTTCAGAAGGATATTGATACCTTAGAGAGGGTTCAGAGAAGGGCTACTAAACTGGTTCATGGATTGCGGGATAAAACTTACCAGGAAAGGTTAAAGGATCTTAACATGTATAGCTTGGAGGAAAGACGAGACAGGGGGGATATGATAGAAACATTTAAATACATAAAGGGAATCAACACAGTAAAGGAGGAGACTATATTTAAAAGAAGAAAAACTACCACAACAAGAGGACATAGTCTTAAATTAGAGGGACAAAGGTTTAAAAATAATATCAGGAAGTATTACTTTACTGAGAGGGTAGTGGATGCATGGAATAGCCTTCCAGCTGAAGTGGTAGAGGTTAACACAGTAAATAAGTTTAAGCATGCGTGGGATAGGCATAAGGCTATCCTAACTATAAGATAATGCCAGGGACTAAAGAAAATTATTTAGAAAATTGGGCAGACTAGATGGGCCGAATGGTTATTATCTGCTGTCACATTCTATGTTTCTATTCAGAAAATGAAATACATTCTACCCTACAACCATGGTCTAGAATGGAGCTGTTATGTATGGGTAGGATACACTCTCTAAATCTCTGTCTATATTTACTGTATGTCTAGGCAACCACAACCCCTTAAAAAGAATATCTCGATCACTCGATTTTTTTTCCATTTCTGAAACTTTTAATAAAGAGCCTTCCAAATATCTTGTTCTAAAAAAGAATCTTAGCAATCCCCTAATAGAATGTACAGGGACAGATTTCCCTTTGACCCCACAGCTCTTCCTATTCCACTTAAACGCTCCTCAATGGGATAAGCCCTTCTCCTTTCTTACAAACCATATTATACTAGCAGTGAAAATCTGCATGGCGAGATATTGGAAAAAACAAGAGCACCCTGAACTGGCTCGAACTATTGAATCAAATTAATTATCAATGTTTACTGGAGAAGGGATTTTACTTAAAGAATAATCAGATTAACCTATTTATAAATATGGGCTAAATGGGAAACATACTCCGATATACGAGTTAGGCCTTCCTAACAGCTTGATCATTGAGGAGCGCCTAACTACTAAGTCCACCAGATTGACTAATACATAAAAATTCCACCCTCCCGCCACGTCAGAATGAATGAAGTATGGTGTATGAATGTTTAGTTGAATGTTTTTAGTATATTAAAGGAAAGAATCAATAGAAAAAGAAATAGAAAATATTTTTCTTTTGTAAATTTGTAACGGCAAATAAAGCAACTCAGAAATAAATGATGTAAAAGGTATATCCTTGAACAAGTTTTACTATTTACCAATCTGAAATATTTTTCAAAATTTGTATTACATTTGTATTTGTATTATATTGCTGAACCTCACTGGTCCTTTTTAACACCATAGTTTTTGAAAGGATAATACCTCTGTAGTTCTTTAGTCATAAAAATATATTATTATGAATCTATTTTTTCTGTTGGCAATTTCTTGAGAGGGAACCTTTAAGGAAATAACGTGACCAAATAATGTATTTACACTAACTAAATACCTCAGGGCTCAGTATACAACCATGGCAACACAAAAATAGGGTGAACATTTACCTGAAGCAGCCCCAAGGAGTCTGAGCTTCTGTTCTCTGCTTAACCCTTCCACTGCCTGTCACTGATTGCATGTATGCTGAAAAGGATACTCCAAGCACCATGACAACTTCCGTGATTTGAAGTTGTCATGGTTCCTGGAATCCGCTTGCTATGAATGCTGCACATACAGAGTTTAACCCCTTTCCTGACAAATGTCAAATCTGTGCGTATTCCTGCACACAGAATCTCATTCATTGGCTTGGCAGAAGTTAGATATTGTAAACCTGCCTACAGAAGAGGCCCAGGTACTGGAGAACAGGGCTACCCTCATAACCACTATAGCGGGCTCTAATGGTTGGAGCAACCCTTTAATATCTCTATAGTGGCACGGACTATATATGAACACTGGCTGATAGAGGACACACTCTGCCACAGTTTTAAACCTCTGCTACCAGAGAGATAGCAATAATCCAATCAGTAATACAATAATACAATACAATCAGTGGAAGGCATTTGTATGGTTAAAGGAGAACTGACACCTCAAATATGGTATATATTGTAATTTGCATTTTATTGAAATGTTAGCAATATTACAGACAGCGCTGTATATAGCGCAAGGCTGACAAGGCATTTGCCTTGAACAGCACTTTAAGGGTGGTGGCAAATTTAGCTGCCCCTAAATGTCCTGGCAAATGCCTTGCCAGCCTCTTGCCCTGGGGAACCAGAGAGCTGGCCGGCTGTTCACCTCAGGGCCCCCCCCAGGCAGGCATGCACTGATGTGGGAGGCTGGCAGCGAGGGAGCGCTCTCCTCTGAGCTCTTCCTGCTCAGCTCCCTCAAACGCACTGACATATGACGTCACTCCGGCTCCGGCATCACTGAGAGGTGCGTGAGGGAGCTGCCTCCACTGCTCACAGTGTGCCCGCCCACCCGCCAAGCTTCAGCCAGCCCCACTGGACCACAGGGAAAAATCCACCAAAATGAAAGCAAAAAATAAATTAAAAATTGTGAGTGTTTAAGTGTGTGTTTGTTAGTGAGTGTCAGTGTGTGTTTGTTAGTGAGTGTGTTAGTGTGTCTGTTAGTGAGAGTGTGTGTGTCTGTCACTGAGAGTGTATATGTGTTTGTCAGTGAGTGTGTATGTATGCGTGTCTGTCAGTGTGTGTATGCGAGTGTCAGTGTTTGTATCCATGTCTGTCTGTGTGTGTATGCATGTCTGTCACTGAGAGTGTGTGTCTGTCAGTGAATGTGTATGTCTGTCAGTGTATGTCTGACACTGAGTGTATATATGTCTGTCAGTGAATGTGTATGTGTGTTTGTCAGTGTGTATCTGTCAGTGAGTATTTGTGTGTCCCAGTGTGTGTGTGTGTGTGTGAGACACTGAGTGAGTGTGCGTCTGTCAGTGAGTATGCATGCGTGTCTTGTCAGTGAGTGTTTATGTGTCTGTCAGTTAGTGTATATGTGTGTCTGATGGTGAATGTGCATATGTGTAACTGTGAATGAGTGAGTGTGTATGTCTGTGAATGTGTATGTTTCAGGGAAAGTGTGTTGGTTAAACTGTGTGTGACAATGACTATGTATCTGTAAGTGAGTGTATGTCAGTGTATGCATCAGTGAGGGTGTGTGTCTGTCAGGAAGAGAAATTTGAAAGGGGGGGGTGGGTTGTCTCAGTTTTGTCATGCCTAGGGCAGCACAAAACCAGAATACACCATTGCATCGGGTTTTATCACCAGCGTACAGCTGCATAACAATATAAATCTTACACAAGAAATATCATAAGCCAGTCCGGTGCACTCAAGGACATCTCATTTTGTTGAATAAAAGAGTTAGAACATGATAAAAACAACAGCAGAACATAAGCAAACACTACTAGCCACCAAATTAGGAGTATTAGTTGGTAACCAATTACTGGCTAGACTTAGCATATATAACAGTGCCGTTAGAGTAGTCAATACGTAGAAAAAATAAAATAAAATAAAATAAAAATGGAATATCAACGTAACGCTTATATCTTGACACTGCTGCCTGCTATGAAGACCATAATGCATGTAAAATATACTTGCATAATGTGAGGAGATTTACTAAGCTTAGGAACCTCAAAGATAATGAGGACATTTTATAAGAGTTAAATGGGAAGCACTGGTGTACGGGCACTAGACACTCTGTATATAGCATCCTGTGGACGCTACCTAAGCCATCATCTTATGGCGATGAGTACACCGAGAGTGATTCATTCCCTACAATGTGCTCAGCCTTCCCAGATACTGACAGTTTTACAAACCTCAAAGAACAATCCCATCAGGCTGGAAAGATTATACTAAATGGGCTGAATTTACTTTACTTAGATCCATGCTTCACAGCAGTCAGCGGATAATCAGGACTATTTAAATACAATCAGAGATTCTCAAGAACACACAGTTAAGCAGAGTGCACACCTCCCCTCATTGATCAATCACAGGTGTTAGTGAGTTATAGAACCAACAAAATATATAATTACCACTGCTCATAACCTAAACTTTACTCTGCATTTTCTTTAAAATGTAATTTATCTCGGCTCTTAACTTTTGGATTTGGTTCTAGATATACTTGTCAAGCCCACCCTATAGCCTGCACATCACAATAAGAATCAGAACATAATATCAAATTAACTGACCTGACTGCAGAATGAGAAATGATAAAAGTAATCCTTCCAGTCCTCGATCCATCTCTAAATGACTTTTTACAGAGTCTTGTACTTTATTTTCACTTTCGTTATCCCATCCTGCTCTGACTGAACCATTTTCATTAAGGATCCAAATGAAATGTTACAACTTTCCCCATTCCTAGGGAGTGGAGGAATGGAGTGACTGATGCAGGCATGCTGGCAATGAGGCCAGTGTGTTGGCATCTCAGAGAAGGTATGCCCTTACTGGGCAAATCAAAGAATGCTCCAGGAGGGGGTGACTGTGGCAGGTGTTACAGTAATAACTAAAAGCCCCTTATTGGTTCTTTTCCCTGCTGTCATTGTGTAAGACCACTATCTAGGTTTAGGAGAAGACATGTAAGGCTTGTATTTGATTATAACTTTGTATCTACATGGATGCTTTTTGATCTCTCTGTTACATTTACATCATTATATATTCTAACCCGATACTATTATTTGATACTGTTAATAAAACATTCTTTCACAATTTGTGAATATTTTGCTCTCTTTTTTCCCCAAGTACTATCTAGGCTTAAGCCATGAGACACCCCTGTAGAGTCTCACTGGTGTACAGGCACTCTGGCATTAAATTTTCAATTCACTCTAAAATCTCCCTTTAGGTAATAACCCTGTTTATTTATGCAATGCCCGTAGATTCTTTAAATTCCCCTGTCTATTAGCTTCAGCAAATGTTATCTTTGGACAAACTTTCTGCGGGTTGAGAGTGTCGAGTATCTCTACCAGGAGACAAATATTTACTTTCACTGGTTCAACCTGTACTGAGAGAAATAGCAGGTAAATGTTAAGGTCGAAGAAAGAAAGATTAAGATCCCACAGGGCCATAGGTAGGTTACTGATTTGTCCTCCCCTCCCCCCCATTCATTCATTCATTCTTCACAGAGGGATGGTGGATAAAACAATGCACATTCATCTAAACCCTGAGCCCTAGGCGGCCGCCCAATGTCTCTTTATGGTTAATCCTGCTCTAAGCTCAGGTAATTAAATACTAGAAATTAATGCTCTGTTCTTACAGTTCCAGCAATTTCCGAAAAAAGGTTGTTTTGCTTTTTCTTTTATCTCCCTTATCCACATGTATTCTCATGACCCAAATTACTTTTCAATGAATGTAAAGGAAAAATGAATGTCCAAAAATGCATCTTTCTTTTTTAAAGCATATAATAAATAGTGATGTCGCGAACCGTTCGCGAACTCGGCGAACTCTGGTCACCTGACACATCCCTGCCAATCTCCGGCAGACCCTCCCTCCCAAACCCTCCTACTTCCTGGACAGCATCCATGTTGAAGGCAGCTTCAACATGGATGCTGTCCAGGAGGTAGGAGGGTTTGGGAGGGAGGGTCTGCCGGAGATTGGCAGGGATGTGTCAGCTGACCGGAGTTCGTGGCGAACGGTTCGTGGCGAACCGCAGCGAACCGTTCGCAGCAAGTTTGTGAACGGTTCGCGACATCACTAATGATAAATTGTTGCAAAAAATGCACTTACTAAAATGTGCCCATATATTTCCTAACCCTAAAAACTTTAATTAGCTGCCAGGATGGCCTCTGCATCTAAGGAAGAGTCATCCCATTTATTCTGCAGAGCCGGCTTCTGTTTATACTGGGTATTGTCCAATCAAATGGTTCTCATAGAAAATGACATGAAGGACAAATGTCTAGTCCTAAACTACTCAGAGAGGGGTTTTAATCAAAGTCCTTATAACAAGATTGTCATTTAAGGCTGAATTAGTTTGAGGGTCATTTTAAGTTACGTTAAATAGTAGTTTGCTGTATAAAGCTATTATGCACTGAAGTGTTTTATCAGCTCAGCCAAACACTGGATGGGGTTGATTAGAGTTATATTCAATGTAAGCTATTTAGCAGGCAGTTGCCTTATTAGACTAAAACAATATTTAATCAATTTTCCTCCCAAGGATATCATTTTTATTTCTTTTCGTCTTCCATTTTATCTCCTTACTGTGTTTAGAATTATGTGGATTCATTTTTGCCTGGAGGTTTTTTTTAACCTTTGGGAAAAGATTGGTTAGATATCGGTTATTGCTGTTGTTCATCCTGAGAACCCATTTTCTTTATGTGCGATGTTTCATATCAGGGAAGGTTGACTGGAATATTAGTATTTCGCTTGCCTTGCTATTTTATTCTGTGAAAAGTGTATCTTAAATCCCACCAACCTCAGGGAGTTAAAGCATTAAACTTTCAGAGTTTGGTAAATAAACCAGTATATGTGAAAAGAAAGAAAACAGGTTGCACCAAATAATTAGACAGTACTTAATTGATTGGATACAACTTAATTGATTGGATACTATTATATCTTCAACAGGCTATAGACACAAGAACAACTTCATTAAGCTGCAATAGTTCTGGGGACCATAGTGTGCCTTTAATGTGAGGTAAATTAGAGATTAGTGTCACTAATAATATACTAGATTGCCTACTTACAACCAGATGAGGATGGTGATGGGTTCTGGCTGCAGTCTGGCTCCACTGGTCTGGTGTAGAACAGACTCCCTTTAGGCTGTTTGTAATGGAGCAGCTCCATTTGTTGGGCCCCTTACACAGCCCCAGGGCCTGATGGTGAGTATGCACATAAGGCCCACCCATAAGTCCACCTACATGTTCCACCCATGAGTTTGCTCACAGGGAGTGGAGTGTGTAGGGGATGTGTTATTGTATAGGATCTAAATGGAATGTAGTGTATAGGGATACCTATTTGTGTAGGTGATGCAGTGTGTGTGTGTGTGTGTGTGTAGTGGATGCAGTGTGTTTTTGTGTAAGGCAGGGGTAGACAACCTTTTAATACCTACCGCCCACTTTTGTATCTGTTGAATGTAAAATTTCCTTACCGCCTACCAGTGCCACAGTAACTAATTTTGTAGCACAAGTGTGACTTGATTTATTTTTAAATATTTTTTGAAAGGAAGGTTTATGAAAAAAAAATAAAAAAATTAAAAAGTACTTAAATGCATCTAATTTTTTTTCTTCCATTTTTTCCCTTTTTTCCTATTCCACTTTTTTTCCATGTGTGTGTATGTTTGTGTGTGACAGGTGTATGTGTGTGTATGTGTGTGTGTGTGCGAGAGAGGTGTGCAGTGTGTGTGAGACGGGTGCATTGTATGTGTGTGTGTGAGGTGCAATGTGTGAGGGGGCACTGTGTGTGGGTACAGTGTGTGTGAGGGGTGCAGTGTGTGGGAAGGCTGCAGTGTGTGTGAAGGCTGCAATGTGTGTGTGTGTGTGAGAGGGTGTAGTGTGTGTGAGGAGAGGTGTAGTGTGTGTGAGGAGGGGTGTAGTGTTTGTGGGAATGTAGTCTGTGTCTCTGTGTGTGTGAGGGGGGCAGTATGTGTGTGTGAACGGGCAGTCTGTGCTTGTGTGTGAAGGGTGCTTAGTGTCTATGCTGTGTGCAGGTGGGTGAAAATTTATCTTAATGTCTTCACCTCCCTTCTTTTTACCTTTTACCAGGGAGGGGGGACATAATGCTGCAAGCCCTGGTGGTCCAGTGGTGGCTCGTTCACGTTAGCGTGCAGCTCCTCTGTCTGCAGGCTGACCCTCCTGTCCTCCTGCGAGCACAGCACTGGCAATGCTCTGACGAGCCTGCTCGCACAAGGAACACAGAGCATGTCCCTCCCTCTGCTGGATCTAAGTGCTTTGATTTCCTCACCAAGGCTAGCTCTGCATGGGCCGGCAGGGGAGATTAAATTATCTCCACTACCGGCCTTGGTCCACGGCCATCGACGCCCACTGGACGTTTTCTGCAGAACCCACCACCGCCCACCTGAAATCCCAAACTGCCCACTAGTGGGCAGTAGGGACCAGGTTGACTATCCATGGTGTAAGGGATAGGAAGCAGTGTTTGTTTATGTGTAAGGGATGTATTGTGTGTTTCTGTTTGTGTGTAAGTGATGGTTTGTGTGAATCTGTGTTTGTATAGGTAAAGGATGCAAGGTGTGTTTCTGTGTATGTTAGGGATGCAGTGTGTGTGTCTGTAAGGGGTGCATTGTATGTGTGTAAGGGGTGCATTGAGCGTGTGTAAGAGATGCATTGTATTTCTGTGTGTGTAAGAGAAGCAGTGTGTGTGTGTAAGGGATGCATTGTGTGTTTCAGTGTGTGTTTCTGTGTGTGTATGCAAGTGATGCATTGTCTTTGTGTGTAAGGGTTGCATTGTCCTTGTGTGTAAGGGTTGCATTGTCTGTATGTAATGGATGCATTATGTGTTTCTCTGTGTGAAATGGAAGCATGGTGTGTTTCTGTGTGTATAGGGATGCATTGTGTGTTTCTGTGCATGTATAGGGATGCATTGTGTATGTGTGTGTGTGTGTGTATAGTGTAAAAGAGAGAATTTGTGAAGTAGGATTGGGGCTGTATCCTACCAGCCCCTTTGTGCTTCTCTTTCCCCCCCTTCCTCAGCCTCTCTCCCCTCCTGTCCTTTAGTGCTCTCCCCTGCCCCACTGTCCTTTAGTGATCTCCCTGCTCCCTTTCCCATAGTGCTCTCCCCTCCTGTCTCCTAGTGCTCTCTCCTACCCCTGCTCTTGGTGCACCCCCTCATCCCTTAGTGCTTTTTCCTACCCCTCATCCTTAGAGTTCTCCCCTGCTCCTTAGTGGTCTCTCCTCTCCTCCCCTGTCCCTTAGTGGTCTTTACCCTCCCCTCCCTTAGTGGTCTCTCCTCTTATCCCTCCCTTTCCATTAGTGGTCTCTCCTTTCCCCCCTCCCTATTAGTGGTCTCTGCTCTCCTCTGCCCCCCTCCCCAGAGTGGTCTTTCCTCCCACTCTTTCCATTAGTCATTTCTCCTCTCTCCCCCTTTCCATTAGTGGTATCTCCCTTCCCTTCCCTCCCTTTCCACTAGTGGTCTTACATCTCCCCTACCCAGTGGTCTCTTCTCTCCCCTCTCGTTGTCTCTCCCCCCCCCCACTCTTAGTGGTCTCTCCTCTTCCCCTCCCCCTTACTGGTCTCTCATCTGCCCCCCACCCATAGTGGTCTCTCCCCACACTCTTAGTGGTCTCTTCTCACCCACCCTCCCCTAGTGGTCTCTTCTCCACTCCCCACTCTAATGGTCTCTTCTCCACGAGCCTCCCAGTGGTCTCTCCTCACCTCCCCCCCCCCATAGTGGTCTCTCCTCAACCCACCCATAGTGGTCTCTCCTCAACCCACCCATAGTGGTCTCTCCTCCACACCCCCAATGGTCTCTCCTCAACCGCCTCCCATAGTGGTCTCTCCTCCACTCCCCCTCCCCATAGTGGTCTCTCCTCCACCCCTTCCATCCCTTAGTGGTCTCTCCATGCCCTCCCCTGTAGCGTGATTGAGCTCCAGTCCTGTTCGCATTACAGGAGCTTCTGTTTCGCCAGACTGACAGGAAGTGCTCACTGAGTAAGCACTTCCTGTCAGTCTGGCCACGTACAGGAAACAAATGCTCCTGTACCGCAGACCGAACCTCGGCCATGCTACACTGAGGGACTGACAGGAGGGTCCCTCCAGCATGTCCTTCATATCTTGCGCCCCCGGGCTGGTAAACCCTAATGGACGCGCGTGCCCGGGCAGTGCTGCAGCCGCCTGAAGCTCGCTATAGAGTGCTCAGCATTAGAGGGGCCAACAATCCTGGCGCAGGGCACCCCTACCTAAGGTGCACCCTGGGTGACTGCCTAAGTCGTCTACAGGATGCGCCGGCCCTGAGAAATTGACAAACCAGTCCCTGCTCATTTTTTGGAACACAAACATAAAAATTATTGACTCTGTTTCCACCCAAACTAGAAGTCAAGACAGACAAAAACTACTAATAAAACGAGAGAAGATTTCTGGATCCACACCTCGGTTTCCTTGGAGCCCAAAGGATTGAACAGGGATTTTGGATGTGCCTCTTTTCTTATAAATAAATTCAGTATATTTTCCACATGTACCTATGATTTTACAATGTGTTAACACTGTTGTTTCTTTTTCTCTAGGATACCATGTGCTCTTTTTTCTGGCTGTGATTCCGTGCCTTGTAGTATATACACTGGAGGCATTTGAATTGAAGATTGGATTGCTACATAATAGCTAGTAAGTGCTTGTTTGCACTGAATACCTTTAATGGTTACAAGTGTCCACATGCAATGTGATACAATGCAGGAAACACATTTGCTATCTTTATTGCTTTAAGTCTGTCATATATAGAATTTAACATGTGCTTTTCATATTGAGAAACAGTCAATTGTATTATTTATATTTGTTTATTTGTGTTCTTTCTACCTTTTGGTCTTGAAATAGGTGGTGAATAGGTATTTAATCTTCATATTGTATTTTGGAAAATAAGCTTGATAAAGAGCTGAGGATGGGTCGAAACGTGTTTCTTATTGTTTTGTTTTTACACTCACTGACAGGCACA